TGGCTGTTACGGCCAACGACCCCCACTCAAAGTGAACGAACTTGGGGGCCTCCAGCAGCCTAAAAAAGAGAAGAAAGCTCTTCCCCGGGCTACCGCCGGCGTCGGCGAACGAGTACGCCTGTTGCCAAGCACACGCACTGGCCTCCGGACCACCGGCAATGAATGCAACCTTGGTAGAGATATGGGGGGGGGGCGCGAGCGGTCGCTCTGCGCGCGGAGAGGCCGAACCCGCGGGGGGGCGGATTCTCCTCTCCGGCAACACATAAAAGAGGCGCTTACTCCGAGAGCGAAGGGGAGGTCTACACTACTACCCACAAGACAAGCCTTATTATATGGGGGTCTCGAGCCTCCTGCCCTCCCCCTGAGGGGAGGGTGACGGAGGCGAGACCGGCGCTGGTCCAGAGAAAGCCCTCTCACAGAAGGGGGGGCGGGAGGAGGATCGTCGTAACCGCGGCGGCGCCGCCGGCGGACGAGAGGCACACCGCCGTCGACGACGACGACGAATGCGCCCACGCCGCGAGGCCGCGCGCCGCCGCTCTCGTTACACGGCCACCCGCACTAAAACCATAGTTTCCCACGCACGGGTCTGTCTTCCCACGGGGCAGGTCACGGGATTTTAACCGTATTCCCTTTAGCCCGAAATCTGACTGGACCGTTTTTCTTTGCATGAAGTTCTTTTTTCTCGTCGTTTTGGATCCAGACAAATTGCTGAGGCGGGGGATTGGCGTGGCCGGGGGCCAAGACGCCGGCCGCTCTATCATCATCACCATCATGATGATGACGATTAAGCACAGCCGGCGCCGACAAGCGCTTGAGCCAGCAGCGAGAGGGAGGGAGGGAGGGAGGGAACCCCCCGCCGCCGCCGCCTTCGCCGCCGGCTGCTGCTCGGCTCGTGCCGCCTTCTTCCCCTTTCCAAAACAGGGAGTCAAAAACAAGAGCTCGACTGTTTTGTGGCGTTTTCCAGGGGATCGGAGGGAAGCTATCCTCGGGCTAAGGGCCGACTTATCCACGACCAAGCGATGTTGGCGGGGAACCCTCCTCCGCTTCGGTCAACGAGGGTTCGGCTTGCTCGAGCATTTGCTACTACCACCAAGATCCGCACCAGTGGCGGCTCCAGACCGGCTCGCGCCGTATCCTTCTACGCTCACCACCGCGCCCTCCTACTCGCCGGGGCCTCGAGACCTCCTCGACGCAGCCTATAGTGCGCCCGGCGGTCGAGTATCGGGAGGATGCTTGAGCGCCATGCCATTTTCGGGGTTACTTGCTTCGGCAGGTGAGTTGTTACACACTCCTTAGCGGATTCCAACTTCCATGGCCACCGTCCTGCTGTCTATAGCAAGCAACTCCCTTCCATGGGATCGGAATTAGCATCCATTTAGGCCCCTTAACTCGACGTTTGGTTCATCCCACAGCGCCAGTTCTGCTTACCAAAATTGGCCCACTAGGCACTCCGATTCTCGTCCGGGGCTTCAGCGAAGCAAGCCCGGCACCTCACCCATTTAAAGTTTGAGAATGGGCTGAGGACATTTCGTCCCCAACACCCCTAGTCATTCGCTTTACCGGATGGAACTCGTTCGAAGCGAGCGCCAGCTATCCTGAGGGAAACTTCGGAGGGAACCAGCTACTAGATAGTTCGATTGGTCTTTCGCCCCTATACTCAGCTCTGGCGATCGATTTGCACGTCAGAAACGCTTCGGACCTCCACCAGGGTTTCCCCTGGCTTCATCCTGGCCAAGCATAGTTCACTATCTTTCGGGTCCCAACATTTATGCTCTGGGTACCCGCCGACACATCCGGCCGCCCCCCGCCGAGACGGGCGACGACCGTTCGTCATGGCGAGTCCCGGACCTGCGCCCCCCCCCGCCGCCGCCCCGCGAAGGGCGGCGCGCGGGGCCTGCGGGAGCGGGAGGGAACCCGCGCCGTCCCGGGGAGGAAAGTCAGTCACTCCGTCCGGGTGCGCGCGGCCGCCCGCTGCTCCGTGGGATCGGCCCGATCACTTTCATTGCGCCCGTGGGTTTAGCGCGCCCATTGACTCGCATACATGTTGGACTCCTTGGTCCGTGTTTCAAGACGGGTCGGGAGGAGTACCGACTCTTTGCACGCCGCGAAGGCCACGCGGGAGAGGGACAGGGAAGCGCGGGAGCCAGCGAATTAGGCTCGACCGCGGCCTCGGACCAGTCCCCCGTTCCCGGCCGGCCCCGGAGGAGTGACCGTCGGGGGGGCAAGACGAGGGCACCGGGGGATCCCCGGACGGGCGCGCTGGAAAACGCCCCCCGCCCAACGAGTGAGCGGAGGACGAACGCGCCGCCGGTTCCTACCAGGACCCGGGCCTCAGACGCCCGTTCCCCAACGCGTCGCGGCGACCTACTGCGGGGGGAAGATCGCCCGCCGGCGCCGGGCAGGCGGCGGGGGCCGCTCCCCGTGTTGGCTCCTTCGGCCCAGAAGGCCTCCGGAACGGGAAGTCGTCACGCCCGCTGCCGTCTCCCGGCAGGCCGACGAACTGAATCCCCCCAGTTCGATCTTCGAATCTCCGCCCGTTTAGCCTCTTAACGGTTTCACGTTCTCTTGAACTCTCTCTACAGGGTTCTGTTTCAACTTTCCCTCACGGTACTTGTTCGCTATCGGTCTCGTGGTCATATTTAGCCTTAGATGGAGTTTACCACCTGCTTTAGGTTGCGGTTTCAGGCAACCCGACTCTAAGGAGAGGCCCGTTCCGCACTCCCGAAACCCCCCTCCCCGCGAACGAGGAGGAGGAAGTCCCTTTCCGCCACACGGGCCTGACACCCTCCCTGGGTATGAGAGTCATTCATGAACAACTTAGGCGGCTCGGGAGCGCGTGCAGGACCTCTCCCGAACGCAGCACCCCTCGTGCCCCCCGCGAAGGGGACGCGAGGCTTTGCGCTGGGCTCTTCCCGTTTCGGTCGCACTTACTCAGGGAATCCCGGTTGGTTTCTTTTCCTCCGCTGATTAATATGCTTAAATTAGGCGGGTCATCTCCCTCCACTCGAGGTCGACGATACAGCGGCCAACACTTGCTTGCTTGCTTGCTGCTGCTGTCGTCATGCTTGCTTGCTTGCTTGCTTGCTTGCTTGCTTGGTATCGTTTCGCTCTTCCTTCTCTTCGGATTTCTTTCTCTCAAATCCCGGCTTTTTTTTTTTTCCGCGCCGCCCTGCTCTGCCGCGAAACCTTCTGTGCAACTACCGCTACCTTTCGGCTTGGCGTAGTGGTTGTTGTTTGCTGTTGCTCAGGATGCTGCGCCCGCTTCCTCTCCTGCCCCGAGCCCCCCAGGCCCTCTCTTTCTCCCTCGCCTCCTTTCGGCACAGATTAATAATAGGAGGAGGGACGGCCCACCGAGGCCCTTTTTTCCCTTCGCGGAAGAAGAAGAAGAAGAAGAACTGGTGGAGGGGACGGTGGCGAGTGAGTCGGCGTTTGCAAGCAGGTTTCGTGGCGCGGAGAGGCCCCCACCTACGCGATCTCGCGTCACTAGGGTGCGCCCTTGCCCCTCCAGCACGGCCGGATCGCCTGGCCCCGGGAGGGGGACCGGGCAACAGGCCGGCTGGTTTAATTTCGGCTTTTGGGAGAGCGCCTCTCCGGCTCCTTCGGAACATTATTCGCCTTTGGGCCAGTGGCAGGCCGGCCGTCGGGAGGAGGATCACGGACGACTGGGCGCCCGTCCCTCCGTCCCTGCGGGCCGACGGCGACGGAAGAGAGCGAACCCTCCACGTCTTGAGGGAACGTCCGGACGCGGGAGCGAGTTCCTGCCCAAAGGCTCAGGGAACCCGCGCCCTCTCTGGTCCGGCGAACTCCCCAGGGCGGAATCGCCGGCGCGAGAGCCAGCAGGCAAGGCAGGCGAGGCAGGCAGGCAGGCGAGGCGGCACATGCCGCGCCGCCGCCCGCGCCGCCCGCCCGCGGTCGCCGCCGCTCCCGCACCTCCGGCACGGTCGAGAACGGAGCCCTCGGCCGGCAAAGCCGGTCGACGGGCCCCGGACCCCGTTGTGCTCTTGCGGAACCGCTCTCCCCCCACCCCCCACGCGGAGGGGGAGGAGGAGGAGAGCGGCACCTACACGGCGCTGTTTCGCCTCACTCTCAAAAGATTCTCGTAGCGGCCTTCCCGGAGGACGGGCGGAGAGCTCGCGGCAGCGAGCAGCCCGCAGCCGTCCGTACTGTCTCCCGGGAGGCAACGTCACGACACTCGAGGGAAGGTGGCAGCCGTCCTTCGAAGAAGGCACAGGGCCGCCGCAATGTGCGTTCGACACGTCGATGGAATCACGGGAGAATTGCGATAGCCACCAAAACATCGCTTCTTGCCGCGGTCTTCCTCGACCCACGAGCCAAGTGATCCCCCGTTAAGAGTCTTTGCTGGGTTTATCTCATTTCGAGTTCACACTACTACTCGATGGCCTCCCACTCAAAGGGCCTCGAAGGGGAGGGTAACCTGCGCTCTGAGAAGACGCGTAGCCCACGGCGCCGGGCCGCGGCACAGGGGGGTGTGCCGCTTTTCCGGCGCCGTCGCTGACCTCGTAGGCCCCGGTGACCCAGGCGGGGCTGACAAAGACTTCTGGGTTCGGCCTTCCCCTCCTCCCCGCCCTTCCGGACGGGGAAAAGAAAAAGGCCGGGGAGCCGTGCCGAGAGCCCCCCGCGGAGGGGGCACGAGCATGAGGAGGACGAGGACGAAGAGGAGGAGGTGCAGCGGGGAGATCGGGGGGGGGGGGGGGGGCAGATGCCAACCCCAAATCCCGCCCTCTTCCTTTTTTCGCCCGCTGGCTCGCTGCCTCGCTCGCCCGTCCGCCCGTCCGTCCGTTTAGCTCGCGCCCAACCCGCCGCTCGGGTTGTAAGAGAGAGAGTTGCCTCTTTCGGCAGGCAGGCAGGCAGGCAGGCGGCGCCAGGCGGCAGCGGGAGGGGGGCCGGCGGCCCGCCACCACTACTACTACTGCTGGTGCTGCTGCTGCTGCTCGCTCGCTCGCTCGCTCGCTCGCTCGCTCGCTGGTAGTAGCACTCGTTAATGATCCTTCCGCAGGTTCACCTACGGAAACCTTGTTACGACTTTTACTTCCTCTAAATGACCCAGCTTGGACACCTTTCCGTCGACCCGAGGGCGCTGGCCGCCGCCGAGGCGGCGGTAGCGGCTCCAAGGGCGCCAGTCCGGTGCCCTCACTAGACCATTCAATCGGTAGTAGCGACGGGCGGTGTGTACAAAGGGCAGGGACTAAATCGGCGCAATCTGGTGAATTGCGCCTACTGGGAATTCCTCGTTCATGGGGAACATTTGCAAGCCCCAATCCCCTTTAAGGACAGCTTTCACGAGGTTACCCGCTCCTCTCGGAGCAGGGACAGCTCGCTGAACTCTCCATTGTAGCGCGCGTGCGGCCCAGAACATCTAAGGGCATCACAGACCTGTTATGGCTCAAACTCTCGTGCGGCTAGTATATTTTTTGCTGCCGCTTATCCCTCTAAGAAGAAGACTGCGAAGCGGACGCCAGTTTCCGGCGCCGCGGGGCGCGCCGCCGGCGGCGCTAACCAACCGACGGTGGAGGCCCGCGCGACGGCCGGGTTTAGGGGAACCGAAGCCGACGCCCGAGGGCGAAGGCTGGGCGAGAGACCCGTCGACTATTTAGCAGGCTAGAGTCTCGTTCGTTATCGGAATTAACCAGACAGATCACTCCACCAACTAAGAACGGCCATGCACCACCACCCACCGAATCGAGAAAGAGCCTTCATTCTGTCAATCCTTCCGGTGTCCTGGCCTGGTGAGTTTCCCCGTGTTGAGTCAAATTGAGCCGCAGGCTCCACTCCTGGTGGTGCCCTTCCGTCAATTCCTTTAAGTTTCAGCTTTGCAACCATACTTCCCCCGGAACTCAAAGACTTTGGTTTCCCGGAAGCTACCCGCCGGGTCATGGGAATAACTGCGGCGGATCGCTAGTCAGCATCGTTTAAGGTTAGAACTAGGGCGGTATCTGATCGCCTTCGAACCTCTAACTTTCGTTCTTGATCAATGAAAACATCCTTGGCAGATGCTTTCGCAGTAGGTCGTCATGCGACGGTCTAAGAATTTCACCTCTAGCGTCGCAGTACGAATGCCCCCGTCTGCTTCTATTAATCATTACCTCGGGTTCCGAAAAACCGACAAAATAGAACCGAGGTCCTGTTCCATCATTCCATGCACGACCATTCGGGCTGTAAGCAAAGACCAGCCTGCTCTGAGCACTCTAATTTTTTCAAAGTAAACGTGCCGGCCACAGGGGGACACCCGGTTAAGGGCATAAAAAACCCCGTGCGCGCCGGCGGGGACACAGCTCGGAACCCGGCAGTAGCCGCCGCTAAGGCGGACCGCCGGTCCGGAGCAGAAGTCAAACTACGAGCGTTTCAACCGCAACAACTTTAATATACGCTAGTGGAGCTGGAATTACCGCGGCGGCTGGCACCAGACTTGCCCTCCACTCGATCCTCGTACAAGGATTTAAAGTGTACTCATTCCAATTGCGAGGCCCCGTTCGGGGCTCGCAACAGTATTTTTCGTCACTACCTCCCCGTGCCGGGAGTGGGTAATTTGCGCGCCTGCTGCCTTCCTTAGATGTGGTAGCCGTTTCTCAGGCTCCCTCTCCGGAATCGAACCCTGATTCCCCGTTACCCGTGATAGCCATTGTAGGCGTTTAACCTACAATCGAGAGCTGATAAGGCAGACGCCTGCAGGACGCGGCGCCGACCCAACCCGGGTTACGGGAGGGGTCGTGCGCTCGGCGAAAGTTATTCTGATTCACCAAGGAGATCGCGGCCGACCGGTTGAAGGGCCGGCCGCCGAGGGTTTTGGTCTAATAAAAGCGCTCCTCCCTCGCGGTCGGAGACTACAAAGGCATGTATTAGCTCTAGAATTACCACAGTTATCCAAGTAGTGCGGTTCAGCAGAGATCCAATGAGTTATATCTGATTTAATGAGCCGTCCGCGGTTTCGCCTTAAGTCGGCCTGTACTTACACATGCATGGCTTAATCTTTGAGACAAGCATATGACTACTGGCAGGATCAACCAGGTAGAAATAGGGGGAAAAAAGAAAAGCAAGAGAAGACCAACGAAAAGCGACCTGTCCTGGTCGTCGTCGTCCGTCTCCCTTTCTTTCTTTGTTCGTGCTGGGCCGAGCGGGAGGAGGAGGAGGAGGGGAAGGCTTCAGGAGGAAGGGGCAGGAGGAGCGCGGGGGGGGGGGGGGGGGCGGCATTTGCAGCGCATTTGCATCGCTGCTCCGCCGACGCCGCACCCACCCACACCACGGCGCTCGCTCCTCCTTCGTCGTCGTCGTCGTCGCCTTCGACTCTCTCGCTGGCTCGCTCGCTCGCTTCGACCCTGTTCCTCGGCTTTTCGCAGGGCCAGCCCGCGCAGCCCTCTCCCTTTACCGCGCGCTCCCACGCCCGCGCCGCCCGCGCGCCCGCCGCCGCTGCTCGCGGCCCCCGCCCCAAAGGGGCCAGGGGGAGCGAGAGGGCGGGAGGGAGGCAGGCAGGCAGGGGAGGGGAAGGAGAGGTTGCAGCAGGGAAAGAGGGGCGCGGACCGGCGGATGGCATCTCAGGGTGCGCCGCACGCAGGGGTGGGAGAGAACAAGCATTGCCGGGCCAGAGCAACGGCCGCGGCAGGCTCCCACCCGGGCGCGATCCCTTTCTCGTCTCGTCTCGTCTTTCTCTCTTTTTTCGCTTCTTGCCATCGTCGTAAAGGGGTCGCAGGCCCTTCGCAGGGCCTGCGAAGGGGCGGGGGCGCTGGGGCCCCCGAGCCTCCCTCGCGCACACGCACGCACGCGCGCGCGCGCGCGCAAGGGAAGGGGTGTGTGATTGCCGGGGGTTTCTTCAGCTCTCGCCGCAAGGGTGTCAACACAACCCGGGATCTAGCTCGACGCTATCGACGCAACAACGTGGCCGAAGGGAGAAGAACCGCAGGGAGCTCGACCGTCGCGAGGGGGAGGCCGCGCGGGGGCGGCACTCGGAAACCATTCCGAACGTCTAGAATGCAGCGGTCGCCTGTGTGAAGGGCAGGGCCACAACCGACCTCGAGAGGGGGCGGCACGGGGAATGGTTACCCCGGCGGCCCCCGGCCGGATGCGTGGCGCGAGCCCGCGACCTTTGCTGTGCGCTGCGGCTGGGCCATGGCAGCCAGGAGGCTGCCCCGCCTGCCGCTCGCCAACCTACCAACAACCTCTTCCACGCGCCCAGCACCAACAACACCACCACAAAGGGCCTCGGCAACAGGGCGGCGGGGGAGGGAGGGAGGCCATTGGGGAAGGGGATGAGGGACCGGAGACGCGCAGGGACGCGTGCCTCCTTACAGCTGCCAAAACGCCCGTTCGCCCAACACCACCGCGAACAGGGGCCGCCCCCGCCCGCTCGTCAGGGAGGACACCCCCTCCAGGGGGACCCACGCCCTCGCCGCACCGCGGCTTCGCTCTGGGGACCTCCCCGAGCCTCGCTGCCTCGGCCTCAGAGCCCTCTCAGGAGGCGGCGGAGGGAGGAAGGAGGGCCCGACCAGGGCCTGCCTGCCTGGACGACAACCAACCCCGCCCGGGGACGGCGGGGAGCCGACCACGCTCGGGATACCCGTCCGCGGCCGCGAGGGAGCCCGCCCACCGAGGCCTCGCTCGCCGGCCCCGGCGCCGCCCGCCCGCCAGCCAGCCAACGCCAGCGACCCCCCTTCGTCCCCATACACTTGTCGCCGCGGCCGTTCCGCCCCCACCACCCCAAACAGGCCGCCCTCTCGCCCGCCCGTCAAGGCGCACGCCCCCTCGCAGCCCCCGACAGACCCGAGGCTCCGGGAACGCCCCTCGCTCGCCGCTTCTCCCGCCCACGGACACGGCCCAAGGGAACCCAGGCCTCGCTCCGCCACCAAGGCGTCCTCCTCCGACCGCCAACGCCCCTTTCCGCCGCGCCCGCACACACCAGCACCAGCACCAGCACCAGCGGCAGCGGCAGCGGCAGCGGGGCCCGCCCGACAGACCCGAGGCTCCGGGAACGCCCCTCGCTCGCCGCTTCTCCCGCCCACGGACACGGCCCAAGGGAACCCAGGCCTCGCTCCGCCACCAAGGCGTCCTCCTCCGACCGCCAACGCCCCTTTCCGCCGCGCCCGCACACACCAGCACCAGCACCAGCACCAGCGGCAGCGGCAGCGGCAGCGGGGCCCGCCCGACAGACCCGAGGCTCCGGGAACGCCCCTCGCTCGCCGCTTCTCCCGCCCACGGACACGGCCCAAGGGAACCCAGGCCTCGCTCCGCCACCAAGGCGTCCTCCTCCGACCGCCAACGCCCCTTTCCGCCGCGCCCGCACACACCAGCACCAGCACCAGCACCAGCGGCAGCGGCAGCGGCAGCGGGGCCCGCCCGACAGACCCGAGGCTCCGGGAACGCCCCTCGCTCGCCGCTTCTCCCGCCCACGGACACGGCCCAAGGGAACCCAGGCCTCGCTCCGCCACCAAGGCGTCCTCCTCCGACCGCCAACGCCCCTTTCCGCCGCGCCCCGCACACACCAGCACCAGCACCAGCACCAGCGGCAGCGGCAGCGGCAGCGGGGCCCGCCCGACAGACCCGAGGCTCCGGGAACGCCCCTCGCTCGCCGCTTCTCCCGCCCACGGACACGGCCCAAGGGAACCCAGGCCTCGCTCCGCCACCAAGGCGTCCTCCTCCGACCGCCAACGCCCCTTTCCGCCGCGCCCGCACACACCAGCACCAGCACCAGCACCAGCGGCAGCGGCAGCGGCAGCGGGGCCCGCCCGACAGACCCGAGGCTCCGGGAACGCCCCTCGCTCGCCGCTTCTCCCGCCCACGGACACGGCCCAAGGGAACCCAGGCCTCGCTCCGCCACCAAGGCGTCCTCCTCCGACCGCCAACGCCCCTTTCCGCCGCGCCCGCACACACCAGCACCAGCACCAGCACCAGCGGCAGCGGCAGCGGCAGCGGGGCCCGCCCGACAGACCCGAGGCTCCGGGAACGCCCCTCGCTCGCCGCTTCTCCCGCCCACGGACACGGCCCAAGGGAACCCAGGCCTCGCTCCGCCACCAAGGCGTCCTCCTCCGACCGCCAACGCCCCTTTCCGCCGCGCCCGCACACACCAGCACCAGCACCAGCACCAGCGGCAGCGGCAGCGGCAGCGGGGCCCGCCCGACAGACCCGAGGCTCCGGGAACGCCCCTCGCTCGCCGCTTCTCCCGCCCACGGACACGGCCCAAGGGAACCCAGGCCTCGCTCCGCCACCAAGGCGTCCTCCTCCGACCGCCAACGCCCCTTTCCGCCGCGCCCGCACACACCAGCACCAGCACCAGCACCAGCGGCAGCGGCAGCGGCAGCGGGGCCCGCCCGACAGACCCGAGGCTCCGGGAACGCCCCTCGCTCGCCGCTTCTCCCGCCCACGGACACGGCCCAAGGGAACCCAGGCCTCGCTCCGCCACCAAGGCGTCCTCCTCCGACCGCCAACGCCCCTTTCCGCCGCGCCCGCACACACCAGCACCAGCACCAGCACCAGCGGCAGCGGCAGCGGCAGCGGGGCCCGCCCGACAGACCCGAGGCTCCGGGAACGCCCCTCGCTCGCCGCTTCTCCCGCCCACGGACACGGCCCAAGGGAACCCAGGCCTCGCTCCGCCACCAAGGCGTCCTCCTCCGACCGCCAACGCCCCTTTCCGCCGCGCCCGCACACACCAGCACCAGCACCAGCACCAGCGGCAGCGGCAGCGGCAGCGGGGCCCGCCCGACAGACCCGAGGCTCCGGGAACGCCCCTCGCTCGCCGCTTCTCCCGCCCACGGACACGGCCCAAGGGAACCCAGGCCTCGCTCCGCCACCAAGGCGTCCTCCTCCGACCGCCAACGCCCCTTTCCGCCGCGCCCGCACACACCAGCACCAGCACCAGCACCAGCGGCAGCGGCAGCGGCAGCGGGGCCCGCCCGACAGACCCGAGGCTCCGGGAACGCCCCTCGCTCGCCGCTTCTCCCGCCCACGGACACGGCCCAAGGGAACCCAGGCCTCGCTCCGCCACCAAGGCGTCCTCCTCCGACCGCCAACGCCCCTTTCCGCCGCGCCCGCACACACCAGCACCAGCCCCGGCCCCGCCGCCGCCGCCGCCACCACAAGGCTGCCCCGGAACCAGCCTTGCCGGGAAGGGGAGGGAGCCGGCACCAGCGGCAGCGGGGCCCGCCCGACAGACCCGGGGCTCCGGGGACGCCCTCGCTCGCCGCTTCTCCCGCCCACGGCCACGGCCACGGCCACGGCCACGGCCACGGCCCAAGGGACCCAGGCCTTGCCCGCGCTCCCGGACGCCCGGGAGGCCCGGGAGCGCGCAGCCCGGCTGCGGCCCGCAACACAGCAGGGCGAAGCTGCTCGGAGGCAGGGAACGTGCTGCACGGCCGGACCAAGAGGCCAAGAGGCGAGGGCCAGCGTGCGCGGGTGGTCGAAAAAGGGGCCTTGCCCGCTCGCAAGGCCAACGGCAACGGCGGCAAGCGACCGTCCGCACACGGCCTGCCTGCCGTCCGTCGTCCGTCCGTACAGTCCCCTCGGCCGCCGATGGGCCATCATCCCCTCGCTGCTGGCCCCGGCAAACCACGGACGGCCTGCCTGCCGGCCTGCTTGCCTGCCTGCCTGCCTGCCTGCCTCCCTCCGCACACAAACTGCGGCCACAGCCAGCTCGCCCCCTTACCGCTAACCCACCGCCACGCCCGGGGAAAGCGGCGGCGGCGGTGCCCTGCCTGCCTCCACAGACCAACTGCGGCCACAGCCAGCTCGATCCCTTGCCGCCAACCCACCGCCACGCCCGGGGAAGGCGGCGGCGGCGGCGGCGGTGCCCTGCCTGCCTCCACAGACCAACTGCGGCCACAGCCAGCTCGATCCCTTGCCGCCAACCCACCGCCACGCCCGGGGAAGGCGGCGGCGGCGGCGGCGGTGCCCTGCCTGCCTCCACAGACCAACTGCGGCCACAGCCAGCTCGATCCCTTGCCGCCAACCCACCGCCACGCCCGGGGAAGGCGGCGGCGGCGGCGGTGCCCTGCCTGCCTCCACAGACCAACTGCGGCCACCGCCAGCTCGATCCCCTGCCGCCAACCCACCGCCACGCCCGGGGAAGGCGGCGGCGGCGGTGCCCTGCCTGCTTCCGCAGACCAACTGCGGCCACAGCCAGCTCGAACCCCTGCCGCCAACCGACCGTCACGGCCGGGGGAAGGCGGCGCCCAGGCCGCCCGACCGCGACCGCCATGGGGCCGCCGCCTCGCCCCGCGCGTCTCGCTCTCTCTCAGCCGCTGGCCCGGACCAGCCGCGCCCCCAGTATAGGGTTAGCGGCGCGGCCGTTCACCCACCACGACCGGGAACAGGTCCTCCCGCTGCTCCTGTCCCACCGGGTGGAGGGCTCAGAGGAAGTGGGACCGGAAGGGGGAGGGTCACCCCCACCCCCTCACCCCTACCCCTCCCCAACCCCCCCCCCAACCCCACCAACCACCCCTACCCCCACCCCCCACCCCCCCACCAACCACCCCTACCCCCCCCCCCCCAACCGCCGCCCCTTTCCCCTCGGCCACGGGCGCTCGGAGCCGAGGTGCCGGTTCCTCCCGAAGGCAACCCAGGCGCCGAGCCTTCCGTCTGCTATTCTCCCCTGGGCTAGCGACGCCGGCAACCGGTGTACCGGCTTCGGGGCCAGACCCCGTTGGCAGGGGAAATTCTCGTAAATCCCCCGCCCGCAGGCCCCGCAAAATGCCCTGGAAACCGTACGGTGCTCATACGCAGTTCCCCCCCCCCCCCCCCCGGAGGCCCGGCAAAATGCCCTGGAAACCGTAAGGAGCTCATGGACACTGCCCCGTCCATCACCAACTTTTTCCCTCTTCTACTTTGAGCTTCGACCTTGTCTTCTTCGTCATCGTCATCGTCATCGTCATCGTCATCGTCATCGTCATCATCATCATCATCATCATCATCATCATCATCATCATCATCATCATCATCATCATCAATCATTTCCTCCTGCCTTTCTTCACGCACTCACTCTCACATGGCAAGAAACAAACCGATTGAAGGAAAAGATAAAAAGGAAAGTAATAATTGAGAAGAATTTCAGAATAAGAATAATGAAGAATAATCATTGATAATAAGAATAAGAATGATAATCATCATCATCATTATCATTATCATCAATCATAATAATAATAATTAATAATTAATAATAATAATAATTATTATTATTATTATTATTATTATTATTATTATTATTATTATTAAGAAGAAGAAGAAGAAGAAGAAGAAGAAGAAGTAGTAGTAGTAGTAGTAGTAGTAGTAGTAGTAGTAGTAGTAGTAGTAGTAGTAATCAGGATGATGGCGGTGGAAGTAAGGAACATTGGAGAAAGGGAAGAGGAAGAAGGGGGTAAGGAAAATAATAATGAAAAAAAAAAAAAAAAAAATTAAATAAATAAAGACCGGGGGGGGGAAGAATAAATAAATTTACCGCAATTGACCTATCTATCTCCGACCCGCGGAGAGAAGGCGGAGGGGGGGGGGGGGGGGGGTAAAGCCCAGCAGAGGACTTGGTGACAAGATCTGCAAAAACACCCGGGGGGGGGGGGGGGGGCAGGGAACA